GCTCAAGACGTCAAAAATCACCATGGTAAAGGAAACAGAACTTCCCAGTAAGATTCTAGGTAGACGTTGAATGTAAACCTATATCGGAACTCCAAAACCCTGAACCCTAATTAGCCCAAGCCCCAAACCCTAAACCCTACCTACGCCTACCAAAAGCTACATTTTTGTAGGGTCCCTATAAAATCATATTGGTGTTCACAGTAAGAACCTGCGAAATGCAGGGCAGGGTTTGGTAGGTTTTACGGTAAACCCTAAGCTCGCAGCTCGAACTTCCTAAACGTAACTCTTTTCTCAGAAAAGTGGTCTTGAACTCCATGAGTGGAGCCCAGGGCCCACGCCCTGCTGTCTGCCCAGCACAGTGGTGTAAGCTTCTTAGTTTCATCTTCAAGGGTTTAGGGCTTTTAAGCTTTGGTTAAGGTTTTGTGAGGGTTTAAACTTTAGGGTGTGGGGTTTACGGTTTAGCGTTTAGGGTTTACGGGTGGTTTAGGGGGTAGGGCTTGGTGTTTACATTGCCTGCCCACAGATTTTGAAACCACAGCCCCCCCCCCCCCCCCGCACTGCTCCTGCCGTGCATTTCCAAGACCTCCTTTCAAGCTGTCTACGTTGAGGCATCACGACACACCCCAAAGCGAAGCCACGCATGCGCGAACTGAAAACCTGGCCTTCGAAGCTGCAAGTCTAGGGATCAGTTCAAGTCGCATTGAGCCAACAGAATTCGCCTGCGCTGGCCCGTCAAGTATCCTTTGACAAAGGAACCCTCCAAGAACTCCCGCACATGCCCTCAGCGTTGAGGCACCCTTTGGGGTTTAGGTCAACCAATATGCCTACCATTTTCATTAACATGGCGTTTATGAATATTGTGATTTTTATGAGTATCATGAACATTGGAATTGTCTTCATTATTGGGGGTTATTAGAATCTCTTTTTATAGTTAGTACTTCTATTACCCTTACAAGTTTGCTAACTTTATTACTATCATTTAGAAGTAGCAGCAGTAGCAGCAGAAGTATTGTTGTTAATATCGACCAGGTTCCCGTGGGCCCGAAACTCAACAGAGCTTCGATGCTCTGGATGGGCAAGGCTTTGCTGCAGCTCTCCGTTGAGAAACTCTCCACATATTTGCTCTAAGCAGCAAAAGTCGCAGTCCTGACGTGGTGGGATGCAGGGTTTAGGGAACTCTGATTGCATTTCCTCAACCCTTAACCCTAAACCCCAATCCCTAGAATTCATACCCTGAGATTTGCCCACAACTTCAAGGTATTAAGGATACTACAGGGGCCTGGACTAAGGTCGCAGATGGCGTTTTGGGGGATTCGGGTGTATAGCAATGTTGGGAATATAAGGTGATACCATGACTACTGAGTTAGGCCTCTACAAGAACCTCTACAGTGCACTACACCTCTGTAGAATCTCTAGTCCCTATAAGACAACACTTTTTTGACATGAAAGACATGGCTAAGCCATCCCGCGACCTCAAGCTGTACAAACCTCGAAAAGCGGTCTATAAAACAACACAACACAACCTGCAGAGTTCAGACCTCCACCCTTCACCCTGAGCCCGATTAAAGACCTCCCAAAGGGTTTAAGGTTTAGGGTTTAGGGTTAGGGGTTTAGGGTTTAGGGTTTAGGGTTTAGGGCTTCGGTTGGCAATGGGGTCGATCCTTGGGCAATCATGTCTTCAGGGCTTGGGGGTTCCTTGCTAAGGGTTTTGTTCACGGGTTTACGGCTTAGGGATGAGTTTTGGTGGTACATAGCTTACAACTACCCATGAATCCGCAACCTACTGTCGGAGCATGCTGGACCTCAAACTCCCTTCCCCAATCTAGCAAACCTGTGCAGAGTGTGAACTTCAGCTCTCCGGTTTCTTAGGGGAAGGGCTTTAGGGTTCAGGGTTTAGGGGAGTAGGATGGAAGACCTTTGACGTTAGGGTCCAGGGGCTTTCGGTTAAAGATGTAGGATTTCCTGCTGGCGTCTGAGACTGCTGGTAGAACTTGTCTGCCCGCACAGGCAGGCAGTGTGATCTCGCAAGCGCCATCCTTTAAGGTGTGCCTGCCCGTGAATCGATCGGGCTCAAGATGCGGGCGTTGTTCCAAACTCTGGTCCTTTTGGGGGCTCCCGGAAGGTTGCGGTTTATGGTTTAGGGCTAAGGGTTTAGGCGTTGAGGGCTTAGGGTATAGGGTTGGGAGTAAGCTATTATTATCTGTCTCACAAGGGTGCCTCAGAAAGAACTGCAGTTCAAAACAAGCCGCCTCTGACAAAGGTGGGTATTTCAAGGACCTTGGATCTTGAAAAGGAAGATGCTTCCGAAGCCACCGTAAAACCCAAAAACCCTAAATCCCATATCCTACATCCGAAACCCTAAAAACCCCTTTGGAACCCTAAACCCAAGGTCCTGGAAGAGCCCGGCCCTTTGTTTCATGCTTCTGCCGGCGATCTTGCACGGGAAAATCATAGGACTCGCCGGGAGAATTGAAGTAGGTATATCTCAGAACTGAGGGCGCCGAGCCACCAAACTGCAACCCCCGGACTGCGAGAGAACCGAAACCGAAACTTGCTACATAGAAAACGCACGAGACCGGTAAGCCCAATAAAGATGAACGCCTAAAAACGAATGTGCCACAGCGCGACATGCAATCGATGTGGATAAATTGCTTTAGGGAGCGGCGAGTGCTTCGAGGCCGGATCTACGGTATAGCCAAGGCAGTCCTTAAATCTTGGGGGCCTCTAGGTTACGGTTTCTGGCTGCGCCTGCTTAACACGGACAGCAGAATCCAAGAAGCCTCATAGAGAGTTTGAGCTTTGCATAATAAGCCAGATTTCCCTTGGCTTGCACGGAAGCTACGCCTCGATGGTGACAGGCTTGAGTTTGAGTAGCGCCAAGGATAGGATTCCGGGGTGCAAGACAGACAGGGATGATGCTTACATGTCACCGATGGTACCCTGCCGACTTGCCGAGTGTCGTGCACAAACCTTAGCCTTAGCCCCAAAGGGTTCACACCCCTCTATCTCAGCACCTCGAACCGTGTACCTATCAAGGGGATTCAGCGGTTTAGGGCTTCGGGCTTCAAGCAAGAGAGGGGCCTGGTGCATACCTTTCGTTGTTTGTCAAGTCCGACGCAACTCTTGCACGAGATGGCGGCGGAACATTCTGAGCGAGTTGGCACCGATACGGCTGCCATGGAGTCCCCGAGTATTGCCTCAAGCTGGCTGCCTGTACTACAACCCTCAAGGATCAGATTGGTCATTAAATTTTTAAACCCCTAAACCCCTATACCCCTAAAGCCCCTAAACCCCCAAAAACCCTAAACCCTAACCCGTCCCCGGGCCCTCAGTTTTGAGACACACCCCAGGCAGGACCGGGTTGCATCCTTGGTTTTGCACATTGGAGGCACGGAACCGATGCCTCCGAGAGGAGCCGACATCGACATTAGTCGCTTTAGGGTTACTGTAAGGGCTACGATAAGGTATAAGGATTCCTAGACTAGGTTGGCCCCTTAAAGCCTCTGAAAAATATTCGTAAATAGGGTCCTACTAAGCCCAATAAGGGAAAATATATAATGTCCCCAAGGCCTACCTAGTAGAAGGTCTCAGGGTAGAAGGTCTGAACTTCTGAGTCTAATGGTTACTACAGGTCTTAGGGTCTAGGGTGGGGGTTTTTAGCCTGGGCCTTAAGTTACACCGCTTTCTCTTGGGATGCGGGCTTGAAGGTTTTAGAAATTCAGCTTGGTCGAGGGCTTGCAATGTGGAGTTCGTGGGCTTCGGGTTTCGGGACAAGTTTTTGTCTAGCCTTCAGATCACCCTACTTGAGACGGAATCCACGTTGTGGAAGGGGAGTGAAGTATCAGGGCATCAGGTTACGGGCTTAGGGTTACACCCCAAACCCTAAACCCTAAACCCCGAAACCCTAAACCCTTACAAGCAGGGCGAAAGACTCTGAACTCGGGCTTTAGCACATGCCTTAGGCCACCACCCTAGACCGGATGATCCAAAACCACACCCCAACCAGAATTTAAAGCCCAAACCCTGAACTGTAAACCCTGAAGCGTTGTGATAAGGTCGAAAAGGGTTTGGGTGTGTGTTCTTTAAAAATGTAGGACCACTACTTGGAGGGTCGGGGGAAATCGTAAGTAGTTGTTGTTAACGACCTATAAGTATGATAAGCCCAATTAGGATCCCTTTGGAGGTACTCATAGTTGCTTTTATTGAGTTGTTGGTACCCTAAACCCTAAACCCTAAACCCTGAACTCTAATCCTTGGTTAGGGTTCCTGTCATGAGGATCCAAGTCTTTCGAGCCCCAGCAAACCCGCCTCTGCTTTGAAACTAGGCAACGACATTCTTTGGGAGATCCCTATAAAGGGAACCGTAATCTAAAACAGCAAAAACCCTATATAACCTAGAAAGGAAACAATAGTCCAGAAAAGCAAGAATTCGGAAAGATCTATGAAGGAAACCATCATCTACAACATCGTTCAGGCTTTGGGTCTTATTTCTGATTTGAGGTCCAGCTTAGAAAACTGGAAGCTCCCAACTCACGGTCTAGGATTTCGGGTTTAGGGTTGAGGGTTTAGGGTTTAGGGTTTAGGGTTGAGGGTTGAGGGTTAGGGGTTTAGGGTTTGGGGTTTAGGGTTTAGGGTTTAGGGTTAGGGGTTTAGGGTTTAGGGTTAGGGGTTTAGGGTTTAGGGTTGAGGGTTGAGGGTTTAGGGACCCCATACCGTAAGATAAACAAGCAGACAAAAAGACAACCCGATGCAAGCTGGAGCCCAGTATTTTCGGCTCTGCAGGTTCTGTATTCATGAACCAGGACTTACGGTTAACTACGGCTGATGATATAAATCCTGCATTACCCATTATAAGGAATCTACCATAATTCCCATAGCCTAGGGCCCTTAAGTTAAGGTAATGGCGGATTTATATCGTCAACAGTAGGCCTAGGGTTTGGCTACTCTTCGTCTGGCCTTGGCCTCAGGAAGTTTGGGAAATTCGACCGTCACGCGGCTCCTCAGAGTACGATGTCCGCCTGCAGCTTGCGCAGAACCTTGGATGGGATAGTGGGTTCACTGCTAACCCTAAACTCCAAGGGGAAAGGAGGGACCCTTGATAAGGACCCCTACCCTATAATGGGCTATATAATGGGTATATAATAGCTACAGTATATTAAGGGTATATACCTAGGGGGTCCTTATTAAGGGTCCCTCCCTTTTACCTTTGGATAAACACTGCAACCGAAACCCTAAGCACTAAACCCGCACACCCTAAACCCCTAAACCCTAAACCCGACCTTTGCTTCGGCAACCAAGAACAGACTTGAAGCCAGACCGCCTTAGTACAGACATTACAGTTTACTAGAGTGCATTGTAGTACATTACAGTATGACATGGTTTACTATCGTATATTCTATATAGTATGTTGTAGTAAGTTGAGGTATATTGCAGCACATTACATCATATTACAGTGTATTGTATCCGCGACATCTTTATGCTGAATTATCAGATTCCGCCAAGGCCATGAAATCATAGCCCACCAACAATCAACGCAGAGTGCTCAGGCCGTGGTGTGCATGCCTTACAGTCGTACCTTCCGAGACTTCGGGTTCTCTACCCGAACTATAGGACTTCCTGCTTCTTACCTTTGGTTAGTAGGGAATGGGGCTCCTTTAAAGGGATCTATAGGGTTCCTTTAAAGGGATCTATAGGGGTTTAGGGTTCCTTTAAAGGGATACTTACCTTTGGTTAGTAGGGAATGGAGGAATGGGGTACAATTATAACTACTACTACTACCATTCTTCCATTCCCTACTAACCAAAGGTAAGGCTTGGGAACATCAGCGACTGCTATTGTAGGAATACAGCTTCTACAGCTGTTGGTGCGGCAGGGTACAGACTGTTGTCAGAGGCTGGCTCTTCGAGCTTTTGCTTGCGCATTCAGATCCACAAGGCCTAAACTCCAAACCCAGAAACCTAAGCCCAAAAATCCTACACCGTAAGAGGGACGTCTGCGTGGAATGATCGAAGGGAGCTCTCCGTTTCCTCGATTGTGACATCGTCCCCACCTGTGGCCACCCCAGCTGATATGAAATTACCTCCACCTGCTCTCTGTAGCGCTGGTTCGGTGGTTTGTGTTAGCTTGCATTAATACTAGTACTAGTATTACTATTAGTATCCGCCGAGGCCACAAGCCCGGGATCAAGAACCCTCCACCTAAACCTCCTTGCTGGCCTGGAAGTCGACACCCACCCGTTTTTTTTGCGTTCATTTTCCAACCCCGCTTCCTTTCATTTTTCATTTCTTTTCGCCCCTGGGCCCCCCTCTTCCCCCCTGCTTTTCCTGCTATTTGTCCGCTTTTTGGCAAGGGATCCCCTGCCCTGCTCTTGCGCATAGGATTTATGGGGCTTATCGGCTTCTAGGGCTTATCAATTTATTGGGCTTGTAGAGTTTAGGGCTTTGGCTCCTCAATCGGGTTGTCGGGCTCAGGAAGATAACTGGGGGTTGTAAACTGGTACGTTTTACCTTCCTGACAACTTCCCTAACCCAAAAAACACTATAGAACCCTTATGGAAACCCTATAAAACCCTCAGTGAACCCCATGAAGAAAAAAGCGGTCGTCTCACGAGGCCCCCTCATGTCCCCCGAACTTGCCCGAACTCCCGGTGACGAGCAGCTGCACCCTCACCTGCACCCTCGCCGAGTGTTCTCTGAAGAGCCTGGCGAAGCGACCGCAGAGCAGGAGATGCGGGTCTCGGGATATGGGAAGCCCTTTGCGGCTGAGGGATCTAGGAAGCCCTTTGGGGCTGAGGGATATAGTATAGTATGTTGCATCCGAAAATAGACTATAATATAAGGTAGGATAATGTGTACTACAACATACCATAATGTCATGTAGCATGGGGCTAAATTTAGTATATCATTGTCTAATTAATGTAGTAGCTGAGGGATCATGCATGCGAAGCTTCGTTGTTGGAAGGCGCAAGGGATTTTGGACTGAACATTTCAGGATTTCAGTCGTTCGGATCTTGGGGCTGTGGGGCTGTAGGGCTTTTGTGGTTTAGGCTTTAGGGGTTTAGGGTTTAGGGTTTAGGGCTTAGGGGCTGGGGTTTGGGGTTTGGAGTTTCGGGTTTGGGGCTGAGGGCTCAGAATCGGAGTTCCATGTTGCAGGACTTTGAGATCCGTCCCGACGTTCCCCTTTCTGTGAATACGTCCTAAACCCTAAACCCTAAGCCCTAAACCGTCCTAAATCCCGACATCCTCGTCTTGAGCCCCAAATGAACCCTCAGGCCCAACAAGCCGTATATGATACACCTCAAAGTCATAGACACACATCTTAAAGCGTTCAACTTTGGGAACACCCCACCTGTCGGATAAGTCTGGCTTCGAAGCTACGGTGCGCTCGAGACTACGGCACGTTCCCATGTGGAGCTAACCCCTACAATCCCTGCAAACCCGAAATTATAAGCCCTAAATCCCGAAACTCCTAAACCCTATGATAAAAGATAAACCCCTAAACCCCACATTACCCCTACCTTGGGGCTTGGAGCGATCCCATGACTCCTTCATGGCAACTTTACGTTGGCAGATGACATCTGAATGGAAGCTTCGCGCTGGCCACGGTCTAGGATTTGGGGTTGAGGGCTTAGGGCTTAGGGTTCAGGGTTTAGCATTGTGGGTTTAGGGCTGAGGAATTACGGTTTAGTGCGTAAACAACCCCAAACCCTCTGGCCCAAAGTTAATGCGGGGGGGCCGAAATTGATAGAGTAAGGTTTGGTGCTCATGGCATACTGTACTTATCAATACGAACCCTAAGGAATGGTACTGGTAATTCCTCATTCTACACTAGATTCTACTATATAATGCTGCAAATATTGTCAAATATTGTGGTATCTTATGTTATACTATGTGAGTTCGCATTATATGACCTTAAACTCTCTTATACCATATTACAACGCTTTGTCACAATGTCGCGGTCGGCCTCCAGTTCTTTCTTCGCCTTCTCCTTTGCGTCCTTCTCCTTCCTCAGCCTCTCCACCTCGTGACGGGGACGTCTTGTTGCTTTGAGTACCAATGCTGGCTCAGGCTCCCTTACTGCTGTCACGAGTTCGTGCGTAATTTGACGACTCCGAAAACAGACTTGATCCTGATCCCTAAACCCTTAACCCTAAACCCTAAACCGTAACCCTAAACCCTAACCCTAAACCCTTCTAGAAGCCAACCCTAATCACCCAAAGGCTTGCAAGTGAAATCCCGTATCGGCCTCCAGTCAAAGTCAAATCCGAAAGTCCCTAATTATAGGGGCCTTGATAAGTAGAATAGGGTTTTTGTGGCCCATTATACTATAAGTATACTAAGGAACCCCCAAAATGGTATTGGTTGTTTATGTAAGCCCCTATAGTACCCCCTAAACCCCACCCTAAAACCCTAAACCTGAGCCACGGGCCAGACGACCCTGAAGCATACTCTACATCAGTCCTAACCCGGAACCCTAAGCTTTGAAGCCTAAATCCTAAACCCTGAAGGTTCAGGGTTTAGGGTTTACGGTTTAGGGTTTAGGGTTTAGAGTTTAGGGTTTAGGGTTTCCTGCAACCTGAAACCATAAACTTGGAAGTATGGGAATATATATCATGTATGTACAGCTTATGTCCCTGCAGATTTTAGCTTCAAGGGTGCGGGGTTTCGGGCTGCTTTCAGGGCTCAAGGTGTTGGGTTCGTGTTGGTGGCGCACCCGCAGACACCCACCACACCCACCCACACCCACCCTAACCCACCCTAACCCACCCTAACTCACCCTAACCCACCCACACCCACCCACACCCACCCACACCCACCCACACCCACCCACATCCACCCACGCACCCTCTAAAGTAACAACAAGCGCCGAATAAAGCCTCCAGCTTCCATGTAAAGCAGCAGATTCTTTCAAGCCGGTTTGTGCATATGCACATAGACATTGGCATATGTAGGTGGTATGACACCGTATGCCCGCATGTATCCGCGACCGTAGGCAAAGACAGCATACCTGTAGTGCAAGCTTGTATGTTCCTACTATTGCAACTCTCCAAGCCTTAGCCGTACACCTCAAACCCCGAAGAGATTGTAAACCTGCATATCGCGATAGAGTTTGTTGCTGGGCGACAGGTCTTGGGCTGGGCATTCAGCATGGGAAGGGGTTGTTTTGGAGCTTGGGTCGAAGGTGAACAACCACATGCCCGCCTCTTTCACCAACTGTGTGGCGTTCGTGACACTGGCATTCTTGTCCCAGGCCCGGTTGTCAAAGATATACCTCGGACGTCAATCCTGAACCACTGCGTGCTAAAGCTTTGAACCCTCGAACCTTAAACACTAAACCTGGAGATTAAAGCGATTAAAGCTGTACATCTAAAGCCTGACAAGGATTCCAATATGCTGATACTACGTAATATGTTCTCTGCTGCGGCTGCAAAGATTCAGGGTGTAGGGACGGTGACGACCAATCTCTCTCGTCAAGCACAGAGCTCCGAACGGAGCTGCTGCTGCCGATTGTGGCCACTGTTACTAGCATCCCAGGACAAAACCACAACTTCAAGCGAAACCCCGTAAAACCGGGATAGCAAAAGCGAAGCCCCAAGCCCTGAACCCTCAAACCCTGCCCGGAAACCCGTTAACCCCAAACCCTAAAGCCCTCTCTCTTCCACCCCAAACACCTAGGTTCCAGAGTGGCCCCTTTGAATAAGGGTACCCTTTTCCTTCTATACGGCCTTACTACTGACTAAGTGGACCCTAAACTACAAAGGGCAAAAGGGTACTACGCAGGAACCTGAACCCGATATTCCGAGGGCCAAGGAGCAGGTAACCTTTGTAGGGATCCGGTGGGCACGGCTCAAAGGCGTCGAAAACACCGACCTCCATTAAACTCAAGGATTAGTGCTTCGGGTGCAGGATACAGAGTTGAGGTGAGAGGGTTCATACTGCAATAATTATATCTGCCGTATTGCATATATTAAATTACGCACAGTACATGTGTGTATATATATATATATATACGTATAGGTAGATGGATAGATAGGTCGGCAGACAGACAGCCAGCGAGGCAGACAGGCAGATAGACAGGTAGATAATTATGAAGATTATATGCATTATAGGAATGTCTACTATATGTAGTATGTTGGATCTGTTATGTACAATAGGAATGTCTACTATATGTAGTATGTTGGATCTGTTACATTCAAGGTCTCGGATGTCGGCGGTGGGGTGCTGCTGCTTTCATTTATTCTCGTGACCTCCAAGATTTTTTGGGGGAACCTGGAGATGTTGATTCCGTGGTGTACGCTCCAGGCTTTAAGGATTAGGTGTTTGGGGTTTAGGGTTTAGGGTTTAGCGTTTGGGGTTGAGGGTTTAGGGTTTAGGGTGTAGGGTTTAGGGTATACGGTTCGGGATTTAGGTAACTAGTGGTCAGCTGTGGAGTCTATTCGAACAGTTACAGTTAGTTCCTGGCTGTACCAGCCCTGGCAGCAGAAGGAAGGGTTGGTGAGTGGCAGTTGTCATAGTAGGTATGCTCAAGTTGGGCCCTCGTCGAATAGTTCGCTTGCTGTGGAGGTACTGGTAAGACCGGCAGCAGTCGTTGTCGCCGTCGTCGTCGGCGTCGTCGATGGTTTGAGTTCAGGGCGCGGGCTTTATCACACGATTTGTTCTGCTCGGGATTCGAGATGTAGGGCTGCAGTGATGCTTCGACGCGATTCTGCATACTGCCACTCTATGAATGCATAAACCACTGTTTTCCGATTGCTGATACCACATCATCTCCTATATACTGTGAGAAGTCTTTCTGCTATGTTAACCGCGTGCGCGGTACTGCTATATCGTATTCATACCCATGCCGACACGGGTCTAGCGACTGTAATATCAAAGCCGAGACGATGCGGTGCAGCAGCAAGGGAAACCCTAGCTTTCCCTGAACCTACCCTATACCCTGAAGTTTGAACCCAAAACCCTAGACCCTAAACTAAACCCTAAACTAACCTAGATCCCATCCACCCTGCACCTCCTTTCGGCCACCTTTGGTTCGGTGAGACCGGAGAGAGGGGCCATGCAACTGTGGCCCCAACAGACACTGTGCAGCAGGATGGTACGGATGTAGGCTTAGGATTTGGGTTGTGTTTATGGGTCAGGGTTCAGGAAATGGGGTTTAGGGTTTAGGGTTTGGGTTGTGTTTATGGATCAGGGTTCAGGGAATGGAGTTTAGGGCTGGGGGATCTAGGACTTCAGCTGGAAGTTGCAGGCTTGGGTCTGAGCAGCTTAGGAGTTGGCGGTCAGGAATTCGGGGAAATCGTGGCGACGAAACTTCCTACCGTTATGAGGATGCTGACGACAGCTGGATGGATCTGTCAGATGTTGGCGATGTCGGCACCTTCGGAAATGTCCAGGGGATGTCACCTGTACCAGCAGTCACCAGCATTCCGGCAAGAAAATCACGGTTTTTGCACTTCAGATGCCTTCCAGTCAGCGGCTGCTCATTCACCAATACCGTCACCACGGCTCCATCATCCAGATTGTAATGCGCCATGCTCTTTTCGTCGGCCATCTCCTCCCCTTCGTAGCAGAACTTGACGCCAGAGACCACACGAAAGCCTCTGCCACGGAAAGGATTATCTGGAACAAGATAACAACCTGGAGCTTGCCCAAACAAACCCAGCTCCTCTGCTCTGGCCTTAACTTCCTGGGTTCTTGTTATATAAGCGGTTTAATATAAGTTACTATAGTACAGAAACCATGTTAATTACTATGGTGACTTAATTTCTTACCCTAAACCCCTAAAGGAACAATTATAGATCCCTCAGAGGAACCCTTATAGATCCCAGTAACTTAAACAAAAATCCTTAGCAAGAGCCCAGCATCCGCAACCATCTCGCCGAGACGTGCGGAAAGCTCTCGCCTCTCGCCCGAAACGGTGGTGACAGTGGCTGTGATAACCTGGGTTCTTGTTAAGGAATTTAATCTAAGTTACCACAATACGGATCTATAAGGGTTCATTTAAAATTTTAGGGTTTAAGTTACCACAATAGAGATCTATAGCAAATAGTATGGATTCCTTATTATGGAAACTAAATTCCATGAAAACGAACCCAGCAACCTTGTCTTCCAGAAGCTTTGCTAGGTACACGGACTTGTTCCTGAGATGCCGAATCTGCTCTGTAAGTGCGGAAATCTGCTTTTCCGTGTCTGAAGTCTCTTGTCTGATCTCCCGGACGCTGCACGACTCATACTGCCTGGCGAACTCTGCTAGCGCTTCTTCTTCCTCCTGTCGAGCAAGACGCTTGCTCGGCTCTGCACCCTCGACTGAAGAGTGCGAATCTGTCTCGCTTGGGTTGACAACTTCATCGAAACCCGTAAGCATAGCAAGACCTACGCAAGTGTGACGCTTTGGTACACAGCTGCGGTCGCAAGCATGGACGGCCTTGGGATTCCGATACTGTCGAACGAATGGCAAACGAAACCGGCGTTGCAAAAACGACATCAAGTTAGAGTTTTAGCGTTTAGGGTTTAGGGCTGCGGTGTAGAGTTTAAGGCTCAGGGCTTCGGCTCATGCATCGTAGGCAAAGCTGGATGCCCTTGAGCCCAGGGGCACACGGCATCCCGCTCCCTACACATCCAAGTCTTGAACTATACTCTACACATTTTCTAAACCCTGAACCCTAAACCCCTAAACCCCGAAACACTAAAACCTATACCCCTAAACCCCTAAACTCCTAAACCCTACGCCCCAAAATCCTCAGCTCTATGCCAACACCTTCACGACAGCACGCAGGCAAAAGGCTCTCATCTCTGGCATCATGGGCTGGTAGTCTGGGTTTTGGAAATTGGGGTTTAGGGTTTAAGGTTTAGTGTTCAGGGATTAGGGTTCAGGGTTTAGGGTCCAGGGATTAGGGTTTAGGGTTCAGGGATTAGGGTCCAGGGTTTGGGGTTTAGGGATTAGGATGTAAAGATTCGGGAGGCTCCCAGAGCAACTACGTTCGCCTCTCCGCTCACTTGGATTGCGATGGACCCTTCTTGAACCGCTAAGGGAACCCTCAGAGTACGCCTAAAAGAACCCTTGAAGGAATGCTTACCAGAATCTTTGTAGGAACCCTAAACAGAACCCCAAACAGAACCCTAAGAAGAAGAAGCCTAAAAGTTGCCGTGAAACGAACCGAAATGCTTGTAAACACTGGACCCCAAGAACCCTTGTTCTGATAGGAACCCTTACCGGAATCTTAAAACGAGCCCCAAAAAGAACCGAATGCCTGAAGGGGCTGGAAGGCTCCATTATAGAACTCCCCACAATGCCCCTGTAACTATACGATACTATACCCAAAACTGTTGTTCCATTCCTCCTACCCTGAGCGTCCCCATATAAAGCAAGCAGACCCTATCCAAAAACCTCGGTCGAAGGCTTAGGCCCCCTAACAACTACTTGGAGGATCATGGGACTTAGTAAGTCGGGCTTTAAGTACCTTAATTGGGGGTTATAAGCAAGTATAACTGTACTTACCTTACTTATAACCCCAACTACTAAGTCCCATGATCCTCTAAGTAAACCCTAAACCCTAAACCCTTATAGTACCCCTATAGATCCCGTAAAGGAGCCCCTTAAGGACCCCGAATTACTAAGTCCCATGATCCTTTAAGTATCCTATAATTCTACACAAACTCTAAGGAATGCCGCCTTGCCCATGCCAGGCACGTCGATGGATGGAGGAAGCTTGCCGAGTTCTGCTGATCCTCGGAAGTAGGGCTTAGGGTCTTAGGGTCTTAGGGTATAGGGTTTTGGGGTTTAGGGTTTTAGGGTTTAGGGTTTAGGGTCTTAGGGCCTTTAGGGTACATGTTAAGGGTTCTCGTATGATGCTGCTGGACGGCTTTTCTTTACGAGCCTTACGAAAGAGGGTGCCTCTTCTTGTCCTGACTGAGGTGGAGCGGTTTATCAATCAACGGTCTACGTTGCAGGTTTTTGGCAGCAGATTTAGGATGACCTGAGCCTTCAAACGGAGATAGACTCAGATGAGAACCCTAAACCCTAAACCCTAAACCCCTAAACCCTAGACCCTAAACCCTAAACCCCTAAACCCTAAACCCTAAACCCGAAACCCGGCCTTGAAGCCCCAAACCCTGAACCCTCACTCCGCGCATGTCAACTCAAACTAACCGGGTGTGGCTTGTCAGCCGAGAACACCCATCCTACCACTTGCCCCTGCTGTTCTCCAACAGGAGCATTGGTTTGGGGAACGTCGCAACAACGCATGTTGCCTCGAAACTCTCGACCCTAAACTCCAAGCCCGCCTTGCAGAACCCCTATCGCACCCCTTGTGGTAGCCTCGAAGCACCCCTTGAAGAACAAACCCTAATCATCGAAGCCCTAAAGCAAGCGATGAACCCCAAAGAGCCTTGCAGACAAGCTTCCCCACATAATCGGCCTTGACTTGTAGAAGTAGTCGATGTTTCCCTTGTTCACTTCATTCATGCCTCAAGGAGATGTCGTGGCTTCCTGTAAGGGTTCTTTGAGGGATCCTTTGAGGGATCTCCGGGGCGCCCTGAACCCGAAACCCCAAACTCTAAAGCCTAGGTCACTATTATAAACCCTAAGGCCTAAACCCTAAACCCTAAACTCTTAAGCCTAGGTCACTATAAGGTTTGGGTTCAGGATTCAAGGGCCTGAACTTCGCTGGTCCTAGTAGCGATGGGCACATCACGAAAGTAATAGTTAATAGCATCAATAGCAAGGGCAGCCTTAGTAGGATTAGCAGAAACACCAGCAGGAGCCATGCTTTGAAAAGAGCTAAAGGCCCAAGTTATGTGTTCCTTGCCTTGCGCTTTTGTGGTTTCCAGTGATCGCAAATCACGCTTCTATGATGAAAGGTCCTCTAACCGGGGCTATAGTAAGGGTGCTGTAAGGGCTTGTGGTTCTCCAAAAATGGCTGGCGGCCTTGAGGGGCCCTGGAGGATCACAAGCCCGAAACCCAAACCCGTGAACCCTCAACCTTAAAGACGAAACCCTGAACCCTAAAACCCTAAACCCTAAAACCCTAAACCCTAAAACCCTAAACCCCTAAAGCGAAATCCGATAGATACCGTCCCTTTAAAGGAACCCCTCTAGATCCCTTTAAGGAACCCAAAACCTCAGTTCTTAAACCGGAGCATGAAGCTCCCCCCAACACGAAAGCATCGAGCCCCAAAGCCCCCCAAATCCCTTAGTTAAGGAATCTACCGTATCTTTCGTCCTAGGGATCCTGAATTTCCTAAACCATAAGGTGCTCAAGACACGTACATGTTCCCTAAACAAGGGATACTGGAAGATCTGGGAAACCTTAAACACGAAGTCCTGAACCCTGCTTGGAGGACCACGGGACTTAGTAACTAAGGTCATAAGTAAGGTAACTGTAGTTATAACTATACTTATAATGACCCAAAGTAGGGGACATATAACCTTACTTACTAAGTCCTGAACCCTACCAAGGCCAAATCCCTACAGCTCTGTGGAGGGAGTTGATTTCTCAGTCGGGCGCCTGCTGTGCAGGCGCCTTGATAGCCTTGCCCAATGTAGGCAAGTTTGCCGTACCTCGGGAATTAAGTCTCAGAATTTAGGGTTTAGGGTATATTTTGCTGCGTAGGAAGGATGGTTTCGGGATCGGGGAGTTACGAGTTTGGGAGTCAGGGTTGAGGGCTGCCACAGCGCCTCATTTTCAGAAACTCACATGTCGTGAGTCTGCACCTCAGCTTTGAGCCAGAGGATTAAAACTCTCATTTTCGACTTCGGCTGCAGGGTTTAGGGCTTAGGGTTTAGGGTTTAGGGTTTAGGGTTTAGGGTTCAGGTTTCAGGGTTCGGGTTTTTTTGTGTTTGGGGTTCACAAGACCCTACTTGCCGTCATGTTGGAATGTTCCTCCAACCAAAACATGAAGGCAAGTACTATAGGGGCCTTAATATTTAGAATAGGGTTTTGGGGCCCATTATACTATGATTATAATAAGGAACCCCAAAATAGCATAGGTAATTATTAAGGCACCCCCCTTAGACTAATCCTTATAGACCCCTGTAAAAGGAACCCTTAAAGGAAACCTAAGCTCATTATTAAGGCCCCTTTTTCAGGGTCGTGCGATGCTTATAGGTTGTCATCGTGTGGCTTATGACTTCCATCGGGCTGTTGCGGTCTTAACGGGTTTAACAGAGTGGCCTTCACCACCGAAGTAGGCTTTAAGGTATTTTGGGTTAAGACATATAAAAAGTACGTAGGGTCCATAAGGGCTTGCTGTTAATATGAATAACATTATTCCAAACATTATTCCAAGTATTGGTTTATGCATATTTGCATGTATATTTGTTTGAAAGTAATTTGTAGCAGTAGCAGTAGTAGTAGAAGAAGACGTGGCAGTGGTACTAGTACTAGTACAAGTACTAGTACCAGTACTAGTACCAGTACCAGTAGTAGTAGTAGTAGTAGTAGTAGTAGCAGTAGCAGTAGCAGTAGCAGTAGTAGTAGGAGGAGGAGGATTAGCAGTGGCAATAGCAGTGGCAGGGGATGTGGCAGTGGCAGGAGCAGGAGCAGGAGCAGGAGTAGTGGCTGTAGCAGTAGTAGCAGTAGTAGCAGTAGAAGAAGTAGTAGTGGTGGTGGTGGTAGTGGTGGTGGTGGTAGTAGTAGTAGTAGTAGGAGTAGTAGGAGTAGTAACCTTTCTTGTTTGTTTCTACTATGATGACAGATACTATGAGTACTAACTTCTCCCAATACCAGTAAGATTATCATCTGTGCTATGTGTGGCATTACTACTCTTACTGTCATTAGTTCGTCAGTTATTCAAACCACTCTACAACCTTGTCAGGCATTCGGGCTTGGGGCACCTTTAGTCTTTGGAGCTCATTTTGAATCCCTGCACTTGAAGCCCCATTGGCAGGATAAGGGCCCAACCCTAAACCCTTCCTAAACCCCGAACTTTCTAAACCCCAAACCCTAAACTTCCTAAACCCTGAAGTCTAAACCTCCCAAGCACTAAGCTGTAAAGCCCCAAACCGAAGTCCAAGGAGCGTCTTCATGATGATCCTCAAGACGACGCCTCGGAATTTTCGAGCTTCGGGGTTCGGAACTTGAAGGTTTAGGGTTTAGGGGTTTTTGTGCGGGGATTTAAAGGTTTAGGGTTTAGGGGTTTAGGAGTTTAGGGGTTTATGAGGGGTTTAAGATTAAGGGTTTAGGGTTTGGGGTTAGGGGCCTGTAGGATTGAACGTTTAGTGTTTAACCTTTCGAGTTGACGGCTTGAGGTTTGGGGGGTAGGGTTTACGATGCCGCAGCCAATGGGCTGAGGTTGCACATCTTGGTGCAAGCTACCATTACACTGCGTTCTCCCATCCGGCCAAAGTCTGATATATGGGCCTTAAAAATCAGAACAGTATTTTGGGGTACTTCCTAATAATCAGAATAAGGAACGCCTACAGAAGAAGCTTACGAGTTCAATGCGGTTGAGGTCTTGAGCAGTCGGGTTGTAATTCCCTTAGACAAACTTCGTAAATCTCCGGTAGCCCTTGCATGCCAACTCCCCAAATACCGAAGCTCAAGAATCCTGAATCATTTTGGCAAATGTTGATGTCATATTTCGCTTCTATCCATACTATCAGCATGATAGCCTTGAGCCTTGCCACCAATCATGATTACCAGCAGCAAGCACTTATCTTAAGATTCTGAGACAACTCCACTGCCTGAGTCTAGCTTGAAAGACCGAGTGGGTTCCGACACGGGCGAGAATGGTTTTAGGGCTCAGTGCCCATAAACCAGAAGCACCAATTCTGATGAAAAGCCGCATGTCAACCCCCCCCCCACCAGTACCCCATAATCCACACGGTCTAAAAGCTCTGATCAGAGCCGGGGAGCCATAAAGTGCGATTTTCCCCTCTGTCATGCCGGCAACGTTTGCGGCGCACATCTGGTCACGAGTTTGGGGCATGACTAGATCATAATTTAGAAGGGGCCCCCACCCTGTAGTAGTGGTATGATAGGAATATAATAGGGCGCTTATATAATCCTTTTTGTCACCATTACAGGGTGGGGGCAGCTTCTAAGTCATAATCATGATAACCATCATAATCAGCATAAGAACAACCATTATGAAATATAATGACGCAATTAATCAATAATAATGCTTGTCATGAACATAAAAATGATCACAATAACTGGTCACCATGATAGTAATCGTATTAGTAGTGGTAATAACATGAACATCAATGTTGCCCTGAAACACAGGTCCAATCTTTGAGGGCACCAGAACATCAACTGGGGTCCGGCAATTGTGTAGGCCTCTATAGCATTCTGAGCCCGGCAACATTGAGAGTGAATCAAGGTTTGTTTTTTAGAGTGCAAGGGCTTTTTTGTGAATCAAGGTTTCGGGTTCAGGGTTTTTGATTTTTAGAGGTGTCGATTGTTTTGGGGTTCGAAGGCTTTGGGGTTTGGGTTCCCAGGGTTTTTGAACTTTACGGATGCACGGCTTAGGGGCTTTAGTTCCTCTGTAAGTGTGTCTCCGTCTTGAAGATCCTGCGCAAAATATGAGTTCATCGAATTGAAAAGGGACCTCGACTGGCCCGTCATTGTGAGTGGCATGTTGGAAATAGAGAAGTACAACGCCAGACCTACCTATCTACCAATCTGACAACAATCTGATGGACTTACCTGGAATAGCACCAGCAATAAACGACAATTGCTGCCGATACCAGCAGTAGCTGCAATAGCCACTATGGCAACCCTAAACCCTAAACTCTAAGCCCTAAACCCTAAACCCTACATAGCAGTCGTCATCCACATCCTGGCTCCTGCACTGTGCCTGCGCAGGCACGCAGGTGGCTTGGTATCTGAGGTCGGCGAACTTAGCGTTGCTGAAGATGAAAGCGTATCTGCCTCAGAACACTTCGCAAACTCTTTCCCCCAAAGCCCTTGTCCAATTACTTAAAGGATCATGGGACTTAGTAAGTAAGGTTATAAGTATCCTAATTGGGTTTATAAGTAGTTAAAACTACAGCTACCTCACCTGTAACCTTAGTTACTAAGTCCCATGATCCTCCGAGTATTCTGCCAGAATTTGCTCAAACCACTGGGGCTTTCTGACACACATGATTGCTTGTCAAAATTAGGGTCCCTTCTTGGGTACCCTAAATATTACGTGCCGTATTATAATAAGGACCCAGAAAGGGACCCTAATATTGACAACCACCCACATGACATGGCTTCCGGGTTAGGGTCTGAGGCCAAGGTTTTTGGTTGAGCTCAGCCTTCATTCCTTAAACCACAGAACCCCTAGACCCAAAAGCCCTAAACCGAAAACCCCGGCACTCCCAGCGCCGAGCCACATTCTTTCGAGCCCTTTTCCATGGAGTCGCGAAGATCCACCCTGCTGCATTTGTCCTGGAGCCGTGGTGTCAAGCTGAGCCCATTCCAGACCCCGACATAAGGCGCTCTAACGGCTGATGATATACATCCTGATCATCAACAGGAGGAATGCTGTTTGAAAGCTTTCAGGCTCCATGTGAGGCTGTTGGGCGGTTTTGAGCCTCCAGGTTGCGATTCTGGCCAGAAGATGAGTCCTACTTAAAGGGTCATGGGAAATAGTAATTGGGGTTATAAGTAAGGTAAGTACACTAATTGCGTATAACCCCCATTAAGGTACTTACAACCCTACTTACTAAGTCCCATGATCCTCCCCCTCGTAGTCACTCGGGCGTATGGTGCAAAGGCTGTCGTGACTCTGCCATGCCAAAACACTGGAAGGAGTACAACAGACTATTCCGAAACCCCTAGACCCTGAACCCTAACTCCAAAACCCCAAACCCTGAACCCTAAAACCCAAAACCTGGCTACTCAAGCCTAAACCCTAACTCCTGAATCCTAAACCCTCATCATTCGGATAGACCAACAACTAGTTCGTGGTTGGGATAGGATTTAAAATTTACATTGTTCCTTATTGGGTTTAAGTACCCATAAAAATGTAAAGCGTTACCCAACCATGACAAAGACAATGAAGGATGCCTGTGCTGCGGAGCTTGAGCTTGGAGCTTTAAGGTTTCGGGTTAAGGATTTAGGGTTTCGGGTTTCGAGTTGAGGGTTTCGGGTTTATGGTTGCGGGTTTAGGGTTTCGGGTTTAAGGCTAGGGGTTTCGCTTTAAGGGCTTAATGTTCAGCTTTGAGGGTTTCGGGTTAGGTGTTTAGGGTTAATTTCTAAGGGTTTCGGGTTTAGGGTTAAGGGTTTCGGGCTTAAGTTTTTTCTATTTACCCAAACGCTAAAGCCAAAACCCGAAAGCACCATTTCCAGCAATTTGTGGGCAGGAAATCGCCATCTTCAGCTTTTTCTGGGCAGGAAATCGCCATTTTCAGCGACTTGGGCAAGAAATCGCATTTTTTTGCGATTAGTGGGCAGGAAATCGCAATTTTCCGCGATGGGCAGGAAATCGCCGCTGCTCGCCCAGAAATCGCTGAAAATAGCGATTTCCTGCCCAGAGCTGGAAACGGCGATTTCCTGCCCACAAATTGCTGGAAACGGCGATTTCCTGCCCACAAATTGCTAGAAATTGCGATTTCGGGCCAAAGCCGCCCAAAAAACCACGAATGCATTAAGGTTTAAATACCTATGAAAGAGTAGTTAAGGGTTTAGGGTTTCGGGTTAAGGGTTTCGGGTTAAGGGTTTCGGGTGAAGGGTTTAGGGTTTCGGGTGAAGGGTCTTGGGTTTCGGGTTTAGGATTTCGGGTTTCGAGTTTAGGGTTTGGGGTTTAGGGCTTAGGGCTGCAGAGCCTTTTGCCCAAAGGGCAAAGCTCCACCATCTCAAGGAAGGTGACATGCGCGAACTCTGAGGCTGGAGCGCGAAACCTTCAAGAACCGGAAACCCGAACCCGCGACGGCCATAAACTCTAAGCCCTAAAGCCCGGTTTCCAAACACTTAAAATTTAAACCAGACCCGATCGGCTTGGGCTTCACGCCTCTTGAGGTTCAACATGGTTTGGAGTTTACGGGTTGCGGTTTCGATCTGAAAATGCATCTAGTGCTGGACTTCCTTCAGTGCCGGTGTCAGTTTGTATCTGCACGCTTAAGCCCCGAAACATAAATTCGAAAACCCTAAACCGCAAAACCTCTTAACTCGAAGCCCCTGGATGCCTCAAACGTAAAACCCCAAACCTCGAAATCCTGTTCTGCCTTTCGGACTACCTGCAAACGGCGTCCTTGTACCGTGACTCGACTTCCTTCTCCATTGTTTCCTCGTCCTGTGCCCATGCAGGGGCCGAAATGAATAGACTTGGATGTTCTTGGTTTCTATGATGCGTATCTGGTGTTATGGGTTTGTTGTGATCCTTTGGGAGTTACTGTAGGGGTTTCATAAGGTCGGCTGCAGGTGATGAGAGGAGGCTTTGGGGTGGTGCACTGTAGTTGATGTTCGTCCGATGTGAGACGACGACAGCGACTGGCACTTTGAGGCTTTTGGGTACAGATATGCCTTCGCGGTTTGAGATACAAAGGTTAGGCAGCGGCTTTTGAATCAACTGGCGATTGATGCTTTGGAACAGAGCAGATGTATTTCAGTGAACAAATTCGCGCCTGAAGCCCTCAACCCTTCATATGTTAATACCAAAACTTAACACTCAAACAACAAAGGCACCCCAAACTCGGAAAAGCTTCAAAACATCACCAACTCTGTAAACCCTAAACCCTACTAAACCTAACCCGAACCCCTAAACCTTGAAGACCCAGAGCTGGAGCCTGCAAAACTTTCCGATGTGTTACCTTCGGGTTTAGGGTTCAAGGTTTTTTGGTTTAGGGTTTCGGGATCAGGGTTCAGAGTCTAGGGTTCAGGGTTTAGGATTTCTCATACCCTCAATAACCGCCTTACAACCGACTCAGTGAAAACCCTGACGACCCAGCTTACCCTGACCCTAATATAGTATCCAAAATCGTAGGACCCTTATAAGGACCCCCAAATAAGTCACCCTTAATTTTCGGAAACTCCAAACCCTAAACCCTAAACCCTTTATGGAACCCTCATAGATCCCCTTAAGGAACCCTTATTCCTTAAGTACCCCTTGTTTTCGGAAACTCCCCTGCCGCTCCCCCTGGATCTCGTTGAGGTTAATCTTTGCGGCGATCTCGTCTGCCATGGGCATGGCATCTTTGCCTCGGTGCTTCGGCGCCCCCCTACAGTAAACCCTAAACCCGCGACCCTAAACCCTAAACCGGTCACGGTTCAACCCGACACCCCAGCCCCAAAGGGTGCCGTATTCGGGGCTGGTGCGACTGCAGGGCTGACCTGTCGCCGAAAAAAACTGCGTCTTTTGGAGTGCCTTTCCATGGTTTCTAACAGTCAAGAATTGCCTAAAAAGCAGTTTAATTGGGCCACAGACAGGGTTTACGACAATCTGTGTCTCGGAGCTATGGGTGTACAACGTGAGGTTTTGAGAGAATTCTCAAGAACGAGACGTTGTGCAGAAAGCTCCTCAAAGCTCCGAAAAGCCTCTAGAGCGCCCCGAAAACCCTCAAAATAATTTCAAAACCCTAAATCCTCAAACCCCAAGCACTAAAATGCCTAAACCCCTGAACAGCTAAACCCCTCAACTTCACACCCCAAGTCTCAAGCATCAACTTCGAAGATGGACCAAATAAACATAGACAGACAGAAAGAGCGAGAGAGAGAGAGAGAGAGACAAAGAGAGACAGAGAGAGAACAAACAAAGAAAGGTTTTTGCAAAGCCCCTGAACCCTGAACCCTAAACCCTACACCCTAAACCCTAAACTCTGAACCCTACATCCCAAGGTTCCCCCATTGACTATCTATGCAAGTGCTGCCCCAAGGCAGCAGGACATGGTCAGCTGGAGCTCCTCAAAGAGCCTTTGGCTGGGCTAGGGTTTAGGGTTCAGGGCTTTAGAGTTTAGGGGCTGGGGTTTTAAGCTTTAGATTTTAGGCCTTAGGGTCTACGGCTTCGGGGTTAAGTTGAGGCTTGCAGGGAACACAAGGTGTCGTGGGGCTTTGTATGGGGTTTGAAAAGCTTTGTAAGGTTCTCTAAGATGTTGGAGGCTTGTTTTAGGATTTAAAGCCTGAAGGGAAGACTCAGGGTTTAGGGGTATTTTGGCGTGTTCGGGCCTTCCGGTGCGGGTTTGAGGCTGCAGATTTAGGGCCCAGGATTGTTGGCTTGGGGCTTGGCGTTTCGGGGGTTTGGGTTTAAAACTGTGGCTTCGGGATTGACCTATTAGCCTCTTTAACCCCGAACCACAAGCGTACAAAGCGGCTTCAGTGAATTCAGGCTTTAGGCTTCAAGGGTTTTAGAGTAATTTAAGGGCCTTAATTAGAAGAGGTTGGGGCATAATATGCCATAATCATGATGAAGAGCCCCCAAAATAGTGTAGGTAATTGTTGAGGCCCCTATATTATATTAGTATAGGCAGACCTCGCTCAGCTCCAGCACTCTCCAGCCGTAACCCTAGAACCCAAACGCCTGTGGGAGGTTCTCCAGATTAGGGGTACCTTATCTTGGTGTCCTTATTATAAGGATCCTACTATTTAGGATACTGTACTAGGGTCCCCATTCTCGGAAAGTCCCATATCTTTAGACATGGTTTAAGGCTGTAAGATTTCAGTTTAACGTCAGTTTAGTATAGGGTGCCGGGTTTAAAGCTTTGGGCTTTTGAGCTTCAAGGTTTCGGAAATTGGGCTCAGGGGCTTCATGGCCAAGTTTAGGATTTGGGCTTAGGGTTTCGGGCTAACCCTAAACCTCTAGACCCCTAAACCCTTAAGCCCCTAATCCCTACACCCATAAACCCTAAACCCCTAAACCCTAAACCCCCAAACCCTAAAACCCTAAACCCCTAAACCGAAACCATATAGATCCCTCATGGATCCCTGTAAAGGAACCTCTGTAGATCCCCTTAAGGCACCCTAGAACCCAAACCGGGTTTGGGTCGTCTTTGGGGGGAAGAAGGCGCTCCTAAGTGAATGACAAAGCCTTGATTCCACCCGCAGAAACTCTTCGTCATACTATCGGGGCCTTAAGAGTTAGAACAGGGTTCCTTGAAGGAATCTATAGTATATAGGGTTCTATAGTATAGGGGCCTTAATAATTAGGATAGGGTTTGGGGCCTTAATACTTAGGATAGGGTTTGGGGGGTACATTCTACTGTAATTATAATAAGGAACCCCAAAATAGTATAGGTAAGTATTATGTGGGCCCCTATATGAATATGAAGTGATAGCGTCTGAAAGTATGAACACGACACGCAAGAAAAGGCAAACACCGTGCGTTTAGCTTCAGTTCCCGTCTATCCAAGTGGCGGGTTCACGACCTCCTGAACAGCCTGGTAGCCGGCTATGCGACCTGAAGCGTCGAAGGTTCCGAGCGACGACTTTTAGGGTCTGCGGTTTCGGATTTAAGGGTGTCGGGCTTATGGCACAACGTTTAGGCTGTGGCTTGTGATTAAATTGCTCGATGTTCTGCAATTCTTGGTGGCAGGCTCAGAGTTCAGGCTTTCGCCTTTGCATGCAAGGGTTCGACGTGCTACACCCATCATTGCAGCCCGGAGGTTCTGTCACTCTGCCCCACTTCACTGTTTCGCAGCACCTTGGCTGCAATGTCCTGACATGAAGGTTCCGTGGCTTCTGTTTTGGGCCATAGATACAGGACGCCAACTCCAAAAAAACGCTGACAAATCCCAAACTCTGAACCTTCAGAACAGGGCCATTGCGAACTTTGGCGCCCATAGGACCAGGCAGAGGCGACCCGATGCCTCAGACCCCAAACTCCTCTAACCTGAAACCCTCCTTTTCAGCCTCTGCAAACCCCGAAGCCTTAACCCCGAACTCCAAACGCCTGACTGCGAAACCCCAACCCCCTAACCACTAGGGGTTTGGGCCGCCCAACAGACCCCTTGCAAGTAAAGATCTAGAAAACCCTGTGGGAACTCTTATAAAGCCCTTTGAAACCGCACGCAGAAGCGCTTAACCCTCCAACTCTCACAGGCACAAAACGCCCCCAAGATCAAGTCAAGCCAAACCCGAAGTTTCAAGCCTATGTGAAACCCTACACTCCTAGATCCGAATCCCAAGCGCCCACTGATCCCTAAACCCAAAACCCTAAACTCTAAGTGAACCCGAAAACCCCCAAAAACCATGTAAAGCCTCAGTTCAAAGGCCCCAAAAAACACGTGAAGCCCTTTCCGAAGGATCGGGATCTGGCCTCCTGCAAAATCACTCTGGCTCACAATCTCAGTCGCTTCAGCGCGGGGGGGTCGGCTTAGGTTCTAAATCTCGGGCCCTTAATTAACAGAAAAAGTTTGGGGGTATACAATACTAGAATTTTAATGTGGAGCCCCCCCAAATAGTATAGGTAACTATTTAGGTTCCTATAACCCATACATCCTAATTATACAGCGACTACAGGGAGATATCCTCAAGATGATCCTGGAGATGGTGCAGGCCGTGGCAGTCATCGAGATGCTGGTTGTGACAACATGGACAAGCAGAGTATGAAGCGAACAACATGACCCGATAAACACTGCGGCCCCTGTTGTTCCGTGACACAACGAAATGCTCTGAAGCACAGCAAACATGGTAGATGATGAGGTAATGGGTCGCAAAGTAGAACAAGACAGTACAAGGCTACATCAAACCACGACGCGGCATGGCACAGTACATCCTAGCTGTCATTGCCTCGTGTTTTTTATGAATAACTGCTCGTTAACCACGTGTTCTTATGTCGAAATATACAACCACATGCATACACATGTGTGGACAAGCACCGATGCAAGAGTGCATGCATGCACACCAAGAACCAACGCGCACACACACACAGTTGCAGGTGCATGTATACATATGTACGGAGAGTGAGATAAACAAAGACAAAGCACATGTGCATCCTGCATGCTTACATACATATACGTACATGTCGCACCAAAAAATCTCTGGAGCCACGCTGAGGCCTCGAAACAACCCAATTTGGGGTTTGAGAGCTTGATGAGTGCAGTGCCATTACTGCGATGCTTTGTTGTAGCAGTAATTGCAGTAGTAGCAGCTGTAGTAGTTGGAATGAGGTGTGTAGTTTACCGTGTGTGTGTGTGTCCTTGCAGTTCTTCGGTGTTTTCCCGGTTCTGCTTCTCAGCTTCCTCGATTTCTTCCAGGGTGTTTCTTTTTGTTGGTTGACTTGGTTCACAGCCTTCTGCTTGTTAGCAAGGCCGTGAAGTCACCGATCTTTCTTCGTGGAGGGGTTGGGGTCTGGGTGCAGGGGAGGTGGGGGGGAGATGATGACGGTGACTTTGCCCCTGAAGCCCAAGCCGTGTAAACTTACAGCAGTGCAAGCCCAAAGCTTGAAGCCTTGCTCTCTAAACCCTTAGCCTGGAGCCCGTCATTCCTCGAGTCTCCCACTGATGTCTAAGGGTCGAAGCACGTAGTAAGTAACTTTAACTTTTTGTAGACTTATAAGTATCATAACAGAATCATAACCACAACTAGGGTAGTAAGTAACTTTCTTTGTAGACTTGTAAGTATCATACCACAATTAGGGTCCCCTTTCAAATACTTACAATTCTATAGAATATTGCTGCATACTAACTCCCCCGACCCTCCAAGTACAGGACAATGCGCGGCAAAATGCGCCGCTGCATGGCTAGCAGGGATAGCTTGGAAACAACTTTCATACCAAAAACCAAAAAAGCCACGATGGCACGGATATGTAGAGAAGACGATGGTTTCCTTATATTGGTAGCTTAACTTAACTTCCTCAACAAGAATCCAATCAATCTGTCTGGTCTGGGGCCATGGCAGTTCCATCGACTGCCGCTGCAATCCTGAGACACAGCTAAGGGTTTGGGGTTTAGGGTTTACAGTAGAAGCCAGAAAGTTGGAATATCATTATCCCCTTTAAGGTAAATTATAGGGGATCCTACCCTTAATCCATATGCAAACTTTCTGGGGTTCCCTTTAAGGGTTTAGGGTTTCGGGTTCTGGGACTGGGGCTTGGGAATCTCGATTTTTGTTCCATCTCGGGTTGGGTTTTGCCTGGATTTCCGAGTCAGCGCTGAGGAGCTTGGAGCAAAGAGCCTAGGGTCTAAGACTGGTCTGAGTCTGAGGTGGGCTGCTTGGAGGATCATGGGACTTAGTAAGTGGGGGTGTAAGTACCTTAATTCGGGCTATAGATGTTCATAACTGTAGTTACCTTACTTATATCCCCGATTGCTAAGTCCCATGATCCTTTAAGTGGCCGGGGGACCCTTCTCAGCTTTGGGCTTCCGAGGTCCCTCAACCCTAAACCCCACAGTGACCCGAAAACCCGGAACCCTGAACCCCGGAAGAGGCCCAACAAAGGGAACCGGGCCGTAGCCAGCGGAGAGAGCCCTCTAACGGTGTTCTCCCTAAACCCTAAACCCTAAACCCTAAACCCAAAGGGTTTGGGGGGCTTTACAGCTTTTGGGGGGCTTAGGGCGTTGGGTTCAGGGATGGTGGGGCTGTTGGGGGTCTTGGAGGTTTGGCTCCAGGGTTCAGGGCCTCAGGGCTAGGGCTTTGCGGGTTTAGGGTTTAGGGTTTGGGGTTTAGGGTTTAGGGTTTAGGGTTTAGGGTTTAGGGGCTTAGAGTCTTGGTTCAGGCCTAGAGCCTGCTTTTACCTGCTGTTTTGGGATTGTCACAAGATCCGCAGTGCCCAAAAGCACGCCTAGTTCAGAGTAAACCTCATTTATTTATGTGTAGACTACAGCCTACTTTAAGGCTTAGCGACTAGGGATAGAAATCAGGTAGTTAAAGCTATAAGACAGGGGCCTTGATAATTAGAACAGGGTTTTGGGGCCATTATACTAAAAATTGTGATGATAAGGAAGCCCCAAAATAGTATTGGTAATGATTTAAGCTCCTATAATAGCATTTACAAGCACAATACTAAAAAAACAAAAGGAAGAGTCCTGGAAATGCGATCAGGCCCCTATATTGACTTTCCAATCCAACCCTGAAACATGCACCCCGAAATTCACAGGATGACACCGCACAAGTATACAGGAGAGCTTGTGCGCTGCCTAGGTATCTAGGTGTGTCTTCCTTGCCGATGACAATACCTCAGACCCCAGGCATCTTAAAGGTGCATGCAATTTAGCATGAAGGCCTCTCGCAGATGCGCACGAGTTTCGGGGAAGAAGAATACTATACAAACCCTCACTATCATATATTCTTATAGAAATATATATATATATATATATATCAAATAAACTCTAAACCTACTCTTGGTCTTATGCAGCTTTGCTCGGAAGATCCTGATCCCCACGGGCCGAAGGCACTCAGTGACTCTTTGGCTAGGGTTGCTACAGCTTCGAATGTGGGTGTTTCCGAAAATTAGGGGGGTACCTTATTTTGGGTTCCTTATAAAGGATGCTACTATTTAAGATGCTATATTAGGTCCCCTATTTTCGGAACTCCCATGTCTCCTAAGTCTCCCAGACCGTGAATCCGACATTCTGGGCTGCCGACCGCTTGTAGGCAACTGCAGGTGACAGCAAGGTCAAGGCGACCAAGGGAAACCTTTCCAGAACGCAGCTGTGGGGCCTAGTAAACCCAACCCTCACCCCGCGCCTAAAAAAATTGATGTGCCACTATCCCCTACTCTTACTGGAGCCCGAATGTGCAAACCCCCTAAAGCCTGAACCCTAAACCCGAAACCCTAAACCCAAAACCCTACACATCTCTGATAGATCCCTTTAAAGGAACCCCTATAGATCCCTTCAAGGAACCCTAAACCCGAATTAAAGCCTCAAGCCTGAACCCCAAAGCCTCAAAGCATCCCCATCTCCCCTGCTAGGCCGGAGGTCTTCGGAAGAAGGTGTAATGTAGAAAGCTGATTTAGAAACCTTGGGCCCTTATTAGGGTTCTATAAGGGCTCCTTTAAAGGGTACTGTAAAGGTGCTATAAGGGTTTTGGGGGGTGTAATGTAGAAAGCTGATTAAGAAACCCTGGGCCCTTGTTAGGGTTCCTTTAAACGGGGTCTATAGGGGATCTATATAAGGGTACTATAAGGGTTTTGGGGGGTTTGATGTAGAAACCTGATTAAGAAACCTTGGGCGCCTATTAGGGTTCCTTATATGAACCCTACTATGTTTGGGTTATAGGCCCAGGGTTTCTTAATCAGGTTCCTACGGTAGTTTGAGTTTCCGGGCGTTTGGGAGTTTGGCCGTACGAATGCGTAGGATGCACGTTTTGCACGTTACCACCAAACCTTCCCTAAACCCCTAAACCCAAAACCTTAAACTCCGAAACCCTGAACCCTAAAGGGACCCTAATAAGCTCCTACTATAAACCCTAAAACCCCGAAACTCCCAAACCCTAAAACCCGTAAGCTCCTGAACCCTAAAACCCATCCTAAACCGGCAAACCACCGCCGAGCTGCATGGCCGGGAAGAGCTCTCTCATGGCTTTCGCCCAAAGGGGTGTTTGTTAAGACACCAAGGGCTCAACAACGGAGCCCTCCTTGAGCCCTAAGCCGGCGGAGTGTATGGGTTTAGGGGTTTAGGGGTCCTCCTTCGCGGGGAGGGCTTTATTTTGGGTTTAGGGTTTTAAGGTTTTCGGAGTTTAAAGTTAAGGGAAGCTTAAGGGTTAAGGGTTTTAGGGTTTAGGTGTCCTTCTAACACCGATCCTACTTTAAGGTCTATTGGTGCGACTGCCTCACTCAAAATTCATTTACTGATGTTAGGGCTCAAGGCTCAGAACTTAAGGGGGCTGCGATTCTGTAAAAATCATTTAATGATGTTAGGGCTGAAGGCTCAGAATATAAGGAGGCTGCTTTTCTGTAAAAAATCATTTAATGATGTCAGGGCTCAAGGCTCAGAATATGAGGATGGTTCAGAGTTTGAGGCTTCACGCTTACAGAGGGATTACGGCTTAGTTCAACCTCGCCCTGACTTGCTTAACTATACCCCCCTTAGAAAACTAATAAAAATATGATGTTTAATATTCTCTTGGGTTTTATATGAACAAACATAACAATAATTCCTAGGGGGCCGAAATACACAATAATTCCTAAGGGTACCTTAGTAATACTGTTCTTACCACTGCTCTTGACTCGAACCCGAAGCCCTAAACCCGAAACCTCGAAGCCTAAACCCTGAATCCGAAGCCCAAAACCCCAAAGGGTCTTACCAGCAGTTGCTATTCCTGTGGGGGTTGGAAAAGCCCGCCTTGTGAAAAACATTCCTGACACCCGAAGCCTTCAGCAACTAAGTCCCAGAAGTTTAGGGTCCAGGGAGCGGTTTAGGGTTTAGGGGTTTAGGGTTCAGAGTTTAGGGTGTAGGGTTTAGGGGCTTAGGGTTTACGGGTTTAGGGGTTCAGGGTTTACGGGTTTCGGGTAAACCCAAACCCCTTATCGACGGAGACCTTCCTGAACCCTGGGACCCGGGTGGCAAAACTCTGTTTGTGCCGTGTGTCGGGATAAAAACCTCGGGACGCAAGGTATTTAGGGTTTCGGTGGGTGTGGCTTTAAAGGTTCGGTTTATTGTTTTAGGTTTCAAGGTCCGGGGTCTTCGGGTTTAGGGATGTTCAGGGTTTAGGGTTCGGGCTCGGAGGGCGTGTGTTTTGGGGCAAGGGGCAACCAGCGGCTTAAGAATTTCAGGCTCCAGGGCCTCAGAGGCGGGAGCTTGCTGTACGGTGTGGGGGTTTAGGGTTTTGGATTTAAGGGTTTGGGGTTTAGGGGTTTAGGGTTTGGGGTTTAGGGTTTTGGGTTTGGGATTTAAAGGAACCCTAAACAGGGCTTCGGATTCAGGGTTAGGGCCGGGGGTGAGCGTTTGGGGGCTGTTTCGGCAGCCAGCAGTCGCACCCTCTGAGCCAGCTGCAGCCGTCTAGCAAGGCCTGAACAGAGGCTGCAGATAGAGTTTAGGGCTTCGGGGGTCCAGGGTTTCGAGTTTTAGAGTTTTAGGGTTTAGGGTTTTAGGGTTTAGGCTTTAGTGTTTAGGGCGTAGGGTTTAGAGTTTTAGGGTTTAGGGTTGTAGGGTTTAGGGCTTTCGGGTTCAGGGTTTAGGGTGTAGGGTTTGAGGAGTCCATGGGATAGGGCTCTGAGGAATACTATACTCCAACTCTGATGATGTATTCCTGTTTCCTGTTTCCTGATTGGACTCGAGAGCCCATATTGGGCGCGTCCCAAAAATGGCAACTGTACAAAGGTGAGACAGGTGGGCTCCGGCACTCGTTACTGTCTTGACGAAGAGACAGTGGTCGGGCTCTGGAGCCAGAACTCTTGAATCTCTGACCGAGGACCCTCTACCGAAGCTTCTTGCAGCCAGTTCATGAGCCAGTGAACCGTGGAGGGCGATGGCCGGTAGCGTGGTCGGAGAGTATCAAGAGTGTCGGAGTCCTCAGGTTGGGATTCCGTGTAAGTGGGGAGGCGAGGAAAGAAAACCTGTAGTGTCGGCTCTGCTGCGGTATATGACTTCCAAGCTCCCTGTCGGAGTTTGCGCAGTCTCCGAGTATTGTCTGCCTCAACCTCATAGACCTGTGCGGTGGTCAGGGGAGGAATGGTATGCAGAAGTCGAGTCATACATCGATGGTTTTGTTTGAGGTGATACTGGACGCGGCCGATGTCGTGGAACCACTTGTGGCATGCAAGGCAAAAAGGCAGCACTGCGTAATGTCTGGCCGGGCTGAGTTGCCCGTGAGTACGTGCGCAATGAACACCCAGGTGCTTGCGCAGCTTGAAGGCCGCACCGCAGTCCTTGCAGACAAAGGGCCGAGAATCACCAAGGGGAGCATTTGGCTGCGGAGTTAAGGTAGACGCACCTCTGCGCTGGTGCCATACCTGCAGCTCCTCTGCGTATTTCTTAGTGGCCCGTTGAATCATGCGCGGCCACCAATGTGGATCCTCCTGCACTGCTTCTAGTAGACGCTCGACAGAAGAGCCGCCGCGGAGAACAGCAAGTTCATCGGGGAGCGTGACCCCGACTGCGCGAATGTCGAACTCAAATTGTCCCAACCAAGAGGAGGAAGGGCTGAGGCGCCAATGGGCCTGTAGAAGGTGTAGAAGCTCGGGAGGACCCCACTTTAACAGCCTTCGCAGGTAAGTGGCGCGTGCCAGTGCAACCGCCAAGAGAGGCGAAGTGGCAGAAGCTGTAAGCAGAACCTGAAACGCGTGAGGCTGAGCTTCGACCTGTTTCCATCTGCAAAGATTACGCCACAAAGCAATGTAATGCTTGCACCATGTCCGCCGATGAACACCGGCCTGCAGGGTGATGGCGCAGCTGGAGAAAACGAACTTGGATACAACTAGTGCACGCAGGAGCATACGGCGGGTACTCAGGGGTACATCTGGAGATGAAAAGAGTCGTCGCCGCAGAGGCTTAACGGTGGCAGTAGCTTGGGAGGCTCTGAAGGCGATCTCTGGTCCTGGCGTGGCATTGGCAACCGCGATGGTGCCAAGATGACGGTAGGAGTCAACAATTTGCAGAAAAGAATCTGTGCCTGTGATGCTGTCATGCACAAGCAGACCGGGTGCACCTTGTTCGTTGCTGACCACCGGGGGGTGCAACGCTCGGGAGCACAAGGTACAAAGGAGCACAGCTGTCTTGTCGGCTGCAAAAGAAAGCTGCATGCCATTTGCGGAGGCATGTGTCACCAGCAAGGAAGTGGCTTTGGTGACCTTTTGCAAAAGAACGGGCTGCGTGGAGGCAGTTTGCATATGGGCATAATCGTCAGCCCATGCAAGGCAGCCTACATCCTGAATGGTCGGCCAATCGTGCCAGATAGATGGCTCAACGAAAGTGGGCACAGGAGTATTGAGAGATGCTCGGGTCAAAGCAAGCTCGATACTATGAAGATAGGCCGAAAAGGTGAATCCGAATAGTATGTCTGCCATCGGGTCCCCTGGTCTTGTACCCTTACGGGTCAAGACCAGGGGCCCAGCATTATCGAGTCTAAACCAACTGCCTCGGAAGAGGTCGGCTACTTGACTAACAAGGTGATCATCCGTACCAGCAGCACTGAGAGTAGCCATATTCCGAAGGTGCTGTGCCAGCTCCGGGATGGCTGAATCCGGAATGCCAATGCCGTGTAGGAGACGGAGGAAACCTGTGTCGTCAAGACCATTGCGTGAGGGAAGTAGGGTTTGTCTGATGACTTGATAGAAGGCAGATTTGACATCATAAAAAGTGATCGCACAAAACTCGCGACGGTGATGGGCAATGAGCTGAAAAGTGCGGGCAAGGTGCGCAATACCCTCTACTCCACTGCACTTCATCTGCCCAGCTTGGAGTGAGGTTTTGTATGCTGCAAACGTGGGGGTAAGTTTTGAGCGAAGGATGCGATGATGTGCTTTGCCGACAACACTAGCCATGAGGATTGAGCGGAATGCTTTGCATTCGAGTGCCGTCTGCGCACGCTTGGCCAGGCAGAGGAGGCAACCTCCTCTCCATTCTGATGGCTCACGAACTCCTAAACTCGTCTTTAGACATACTGGCAGGAGTAACTTGGAAACATGTGGCACTGACAGGCGTAGGATCTCTGAGGTAATTTGATCCGGGCCACATGCTTTCCGAAGTTTGGAGCGGAGGAGCTGTTGCTCAATGTCGTGCAACGTCGGTACTGCTTCAATGGAGAAGACAGGGCCGGCTGGCAGAATCTCAACCTCTGGGGCTGCAAAGGCAAGCTGGTAGTCTTGGGCTGTGACATGAACCCCAGCCTCTTGCTGGCTGAAGTATTCAATCCAGCGCGCTTGGCGCTGCTCAACGGTCTGTGCCAGAGTACCATCCTCGAGACGGACTGCTGGTAGCGGTTGAAATGCCACTCTTCTAGCTGATTTGGCAGTGGGAAACGCCCTGCGCACGGCTTGGTACAAGGCCTTGGGTGAACGCATGTCTTGGAAGGAGATTTGTTCAACCAGCGTAGCTAGAAAGGCTGCGCGATCGCGTTTGACGGCTGCTCGGATGGCCGTCGTAGTCTCATAGAGCTGCGCCAAAGCATGCGCTAGGCTGATGTCAAGTTGGCGCCACCAGGTTTCCGCACTTCGTTGAGCACGCTGGGTGAAAGCCCCACCGGATCGATTCAACAGCAATGCTGTGAATCCCACAATGAGACGTCGTCGTTGGATTTCATGATTTTCTTGCCAAATGTATCTCCGAATGGCAGCACGACGATGTACTAGGGTAAGAGTGGGCTGGGTGAGATACTCTTGTGTTGTCGTTGGCTGCTTCTCCTCACATAGGGGCTGTGCAGCAGCAAGAAGTGTACTCACCCATTGATCATAGTGGGTGTCGATATCAAGGTGCCACGGGGCGGTCGAGGCTTGGCACAGTGCGTTCTGGAAAAGTGCACGTTGCTGTGGGGTGGGGTCTACTTTAGGTCTGCAAGGCTTGCGTCGAGACATCTGGTAGCTGCTGGCAGCCTGCAACTTACTAAAACTAACAAGGGCAAGTGTCGGAACATGATCTTGTCGAGCTTGGAGTGCTTCAAAGCCTTCCCATACAACCGTGCGGATGTCGAAGGAGAACCATTCGATTGGGAAAGCTACAAAATCCAAGCGATGCGAAACCGGGTTGTCGCCTGGCCCCTTCCAGGTGTGATGCGGGCCACTGTGAAAATGATCAAAAGTGGCTGGGAGGAAACACCCAACTGCTGTCAGAAAATCATGGAAACAGGAACCCTCGAAGTTCTCCTCCTCTGCTCCATGTCCGCCAATGAATGTGGTGGCGAGTGATCCAACGTGACTATTTGCATCCGTAAGAACAACACACTCCATGCCATGTGGACGACCGCAAAGGGCCTGTGCACGCTCTGTCCAGAAGCTACTGACAGTCGCATCGTTGTTGGTGGCTGCCCTAGGGCCATGTGCAACGAGAACGGCAAGTTTGAGGCGAGGCGTTTCAATGTGCACTTGGAGGTGTCTGGGTGAACTCGACACCACCGTGAGCTGATTTGCAAGTACACGATGGTTATGAGACGCATCTCTTGCATAAATATGCTGTTTGGAGATCCAAAGCGCACAACCTCCGTGACCACCTGTGGTAGCTTGCGAGTTGAGCATTATATAGTCACTGTCGGGAAGAACAGCCGATTCTGGCAACCTAGTTTCTTGCAGTCCAATGAGCCACAAGCCGCGAGCTTTGAACTGCCGCTTCAAAACGTCTCTTTTGCCGGCTGTCATGAGCCCGACGTTGTCGAGACGTTTTGCGCGTCCATGGGGGACGCATGGATCGAAGAGCGTAAGCACGTTGTACGAAGCTACATGGATTTCATAGACTGCCTCTGCCTCTCTGTACTTGCGCTCAATCACTCCTAAGGAGGGAGGCTTAGGGCAAACGGGAGTGGTCTGAAGTCGGTGTGCTTCGATCTGGAAATTGGCAAGATCTGGAATGTCAACCCCGCTGTAGCCTATGGTCCACCCCCAACTGGCTAACGGGTGTTGTATCCATTTCCCCGGCCAAAGCGGAAGGCATCTGTCATAGAAGTCTTCTGGTGATTTGCGAGCTCTTTTGGCAAGGAGATCGCAAATTTCGTTGCCCAGATCTCCGCTGTGTCCTTTGACGTGTTGGTGCGAGACTGGCGTACGCACTTCAAGGGTCTGTCGGAGGACGTTGGTGAAGACCGCTAGTGGAGTGTGACTTTGGGCATCTTCAACCTTGTGTGCCATAGCTGCGAATGTGCCACACCCTGGTGCAGTGGCATCATATCGAAATTCTATGGGCACTCGATAGCCTGCCCCGAATTCGACAGACCACACAAGGGCCCAAGCCAGAGCCAGTACTTCTGCCGTCCAAGAATCGTCCTGTGATTCATGAAGCCAATATGGCGTATCTGGCGGGACACTAGAGTGAGCACTGTAGCCTATGAGGCTCAGACCTGTGGTAGTCTGAAGCCATGCACAAAAGGCCCAGGCAGCAGGTCCGAGAGCTGCATCAGTCTGCTGCGAGGCAGAACCATCTGTGTAGATGATAATGCGGTGTGGCACCTCATCTGCTGCAAGCATGTGGGTGGTTCTAAAATTGGCAAAGGCTGCCTTCCACTGCACGGGAGTGGCAGGATCTCGCACCAGTGGGCCAAGATCGTTGTCTAGCCAATCTAGACTGAAGCCTTGCAGCTGCGCGGAAATATCAACAGTGGTGGGGACAATTGTCCGGAGCTCCGCAACCTGTTGCTGATAGGTGGAAATAGGAATGCAAGATTGCAATTCAAGGACTGGCCGATGGGCTGTCTGGACAAAGTGTTCGAAGAGAGTGTCGAGCAGGCCTACTGCTAACAAAAAGGCAGGACATCCAGGCGTAGATGCTGCTTCCTCCAGCAGTGTGGGTCCAAGCGCTCCACATGCTAGATCCAGTGACTGTAACTGCACCGGATCCTGCCGAGATCTACAGGGCGTAGGCAATAGTCGTTGTGGGCAGCGGAAAGGAATCGCTGCTGGGCATACGACTGAAAGTTGTGGTTCTCCCTCTGCTCCTGGGTGTGGGTCCAAAATTGGAGACCCTGCCCCAACAACAAATTCTCCACAAAGGACGACGGCTGGAAGCAGAAGTCCTACTGGGGCATTGCCTAGCGAGCAAATGAAACCCAGGATGAGGAGAAGTAACCGAACTTGAAGACCCTGAATAGACCTCGGTAGTTCAGAGTGCGGCCTATGGTAGGCTAACGCTGACTCGGCAATTGTGCTGTTGAACTGTACGGTGCCATCGGTGGCTAGAGTTTCCGGTGAACCGCCTGTTCCAGGGGCTGTTGCTTGATGCCCTGCTTGGCTGCCTGAGGCTGCGTCGCCGGTGCCTGTCTGTCTTCTTGGCCTGTCAGTGTCTGGAGCTGAAGGAGGGATCGATCCTTGTGACAGACTAGAGGAGTCAGTTTGTGGCAGAAACTCTATAGTAACCGTGAGTCCATCTTGAACGGCAAGAGCGCCTGTCAGAGGCATCGGTGGGTCGCCACCTGCAGAATATGCAATTACAAAACCTATGGGGCACCTTGGTTGAAGCTGAGCAAGCAATGTGACGGCATCCAGTGTGCCGTGGGGTGCAAAGCGCCACTGAAAACCCAGCAGGATCGGACGAAGGTCTAATACACATATAGGGTGCCTGGGTGTGTGGTACGTGGTACCAGGACTGGCAATCGCTGCAGCAAGGACAGCTCTGGACACAGAGCCTTTGTGCATGTGGTTGCAAACATTGGGTGTAGCCGGACGCAGTATCATACTGGCTGTCTCGACCCCTGCACGAGATGCAATGTCTTGACGGATAAGGTGTCGACGGTCTGGCTGCACTGCAAACTGATATGCACCTGTATCAGAGACGACCCATGCTGTGTCTTCGAAAACGCACGGAAAATCAGCCTGAGCATTCCAGCCTGCGCCAGATAGCAACATGTCTGACAAACGCGCGACCGTGAAGTAACCATGTCCAGCTGGTAGGACCTGTATGGTGTGCCCATGGCGAAGGTTGAGCCGTTGCCCATTGGCAAGGGGCCAAGGCATATCTTCAGAGTAGACAACTGCATCGGAAGAATCCGGTAGGCCTACCAGCCTGAGGATTTCGGCACGTGTAACTGTGGGAAGCACGTCCAAGCAGAATATGCGGTTGTTGAGTCGGCTACAGTCGAAGAACACGAACATCAAGGAAGGTGTCCATCGAGGCATGGCCAGTGCAATGGCAAACTCACTGAACGGCTGGAAGTCAACTGTGACAAGCCTGGGGAAACGTTGTGCAGAGATGGGTCCCCTGGCAGCAGCAACGGCTTGCAGCGCTGTTTCAGTGGTTTGTGGCAGGGCGAATCGGACTTCGACCTGCTCCGGCAAGTAGTCAGGTGCCAAGATGAGAAAAGTGATCGTCGCATAGTCACTTGGAGGCTGGACGGCAGTGTCTAGCTCTGCGGGAACCTGTGGGCCATCATTATCAACCTGAGATGAGTGCTCGTCCTGGGTATGTGCAGAAGCATGTGAGGATGCACTCTGCATTTGCTGCGTTGCGTCTGGGGCTCCGGCTGGAGTTGCTCCCTGCGTAGTGGCATTATAAGGCCCTTCAGGCTGCGTAGCTGCTGTGAGTACCTGGCCTTGCGTGACCTGAAAAAACAGGGTACCTGGCGGAACCTCCAGGAAAGCGACAGGCAGCTCTTGTTGAAAGACACCACTGACTTCGCGAACAAGCTCGTCGACCTCAATCATGTTACCTGAGACCCTTTTAGAAAACCATCCCAACAGTAGGGGGCGGCAATCTACAAGAACATGTGTGAATAGTCCCCCTTGTTGTGGGCCTGGGACAGCCGCTGCAGAGATGACAGTTCGACACTGAAAACCATCTATTTCTACATCATCTGGTCTGGGCCTGGCAGGTTGGAGGTCAAGTGCTGTTGGCAAGATGTCCAGTGCCTGTGCAAGCTGTGCTCTATAACGCATAGGCTCGGCAATGTCTGTTTGAAACAGGACTTGCTGTGGCCCGTGGACCAGGCAATAGAAATCAGCAGTTGTGGCAGCTGGCAGACTCGCGTCTTCAGACCATGTTCTATGGTCAAGAAGCATTTGAGGGAGTGTGCGGAAGGTGGGTGGTCCGCCCCCAGCTCTGACGAAGGAGAAAACTATACCCGTATGGACATGTACCTGGGTGTTTTGATGCAAGGGAGACTGATCTGCACCTGCATATACTTCGGCCTGAGCATCTTCTGGCAGTAGGGCAAGCTGCAGCAACTGTGAGAGGCGCATGTATGTCTGCCCTTTGACAACATGGATGCGTCCATCCCAGCGGAGCAGGTTAAGGCAAACAAAGGGGGCCCTACGTTCCCAGGATGGCTCTGCAGTAAATACTGCCATGTCTGGCACTGGCTGAGGTGCAACTGGTGTAAGGCGAGGAAAGCATAGGGCGCACTCAGGATGTCTTGCGTCCTGGACGGCTCTTTGGACCTCATCAAGGGTCGCTGGAAAGCGAACTGCGACAGTTAGTATTTCAGGGCTGTAGGCCTGCTTGAGTACTGCAACTACAGCCCAAATGGTAGTGTCTGTTGCAGTGGTTTCTGTGATGTCATGCTCTGAGGCTGCCTCCAAGGTTTGCGGATTTGGCAGGAAAGGCCATGGCTCTTGCATGTGTTGTGCAGCGTGACGAACGTTCCTAAGTGTACGAACTTCGCTGGCCGTACTACATACTGGTTCTTGTAGCAACTTGTCAACTGGTATTTCGTTGCTGTCAATGGGATGTGGCAGTGGAACCGAGGGATGGGCCAATGCCGTACTCGAGTACGGATGAGAAGCTGTGGGTTGCTCCTCCTCGGCATCTTGCTCGAAATCCAAAGTTCGTCGCGCAGATGGTGGAGAAGTCCTTCGTGGAGGGGTTCGGCTTCGGGACCTATCCCTAGAACCAGAAGAACCAGAACTAGAGGCGGGAGAGGGATCCCTTTGGGGTGAAGGCCGGGACGTGTGGCCATCATGATCCTCCGTGGAATCTTCGTCTGAAGTTGCACTGGAGCTCCCCTCAGTGTCGCCATCTGTCTCCTCATCACTGGTGAGTGGCACATATTGTGCAACAATGACGGTGCCGGGATTGATGATGAAATCTTCTCCATCCATGAAGGCTCCGTCGAGTTGGACTTGGTGCCCTTCCGGAAGGAATGTGGAGAGCTCCTGCACCAAAGTGGAGTGTGAAGCTCGGTTTCGAAGTGCATGCTTCAAAAGGAAGCCTCGCAACAGAGGCCTGGCATCTATGATGAAAGCACAAATGGGAGGCACGGGTCGTCCTGGTGGGACTGGTATCGTGCTGATCTCAATCGTGACCGCTGCAACTGTTACACATGGCCATCCATTGAGTGCGGCGTCTTCAAGTGGTGGCTTAGAAGCCTGCACGGTAACACTAGCAGGGTCGAGGTGGTACTCCTGCGCGAGCACTTCCTGATGGGTTTTGCCCCTGGTTTTAGGCCACTTGAGTAACCTTTGGCCTTCTTCGAGCACAAAACAAAAACGGCGTGCTGGAGCAGGGGATGGGATGCGAGGACTGATTTCCCATCCTGCCGGTGACCTGAGCATGACTGGCAACATGTGGCCAATGCGACCTGGCTGCCATGTGTACGTAAAGAAAATGCAACCTGCTTCTTCGACTTCGAGAATCTCTTGTGGTCCTAGAGGCTGTGGGTGGCCAAAGGCATAAATGTTGAAGTGATCCTGAAGCTGCAAGCCCGCCAGTTCACACAAGGTCGCCTTATCAACCTGCCTGGGCACGCTCTTGGCAAAAATCCTGCCATCAATATCCGTAAGATCCAGGCAGACTACACTTTCTTGACGACACCACAGGGGAAGGGCGATAACCGTCGCGAAGTGACAAAAGGGCTGTGGCCGTACCTCGAGAAGCTGGTTGTAAATGATGTCTTGGGCATGGGTACGTGCATCCGAGACACATTGTAATGCTTCTGCAACCGTAGCAGGCGTCCTAAAGGCGGTGGTGATGACTTCGGGGCAACCATCTATCGTAAGGACAACGAAGGTGGCTAATGCGATCTGTGAGGCAGGTCTGTGCCCTTCAGCAACTGCTGCAACTTCGGGGCCTTGATCTGGTCGTCTTACCGGCTGAGGTAGAGAGTGATACTCATCAAGGTCATCTGGCAAAATTGGTGTGCCTGTCGCCGTACCTTGTGCATTGAAGTTTAGTCTTGGAGGAAGGGTGGGATACTCTGCCTTACGAACGGAGGTTTGGCAGTCCGTGTGCGCTGGGGAGCAACTTATATCCCAAGCTGAACGCGTAAGCTCGACTGGTGGGGCAGCGCGTATGACCACTGCATGGCAAGGAACACAAGTTTGGCACAACAGGAAGGCGACAGCGCAGCAAAATTTTGCTCCTGAGAGCCTGAAGCTGAAGGGTCTGTGGGCAGACGTGGATGTCCCACTCCATTCCAAAACTGCCGCTCTTGGTGTGGCAACCAGAGCAAGGGGAGTGGCAACTTCAAATTGCTCAATCCGGACCCAATTCTTGAAGAGTTTTGCACGGATAACTCTTCGCAGCTTGAGTGGATGTACAAGCAGCCTCAGTAGGCTGCAAAAGCCGAGAAAGAAGAAGGGCAGGATACTGCTGACAATTGGTCTCATCCAACTGAGGAGACACAACATGAAACCTTCTGAAAAAGGCGGCTCAGCAGAGCTAGGTGGACACCCCAGAGCAACCGATGTGTCTCTTTTGCACTCTAGCGGAAAAAGTGAGCCTTCGCCTGCAGGGCTGCTGTCCTGGCCTGACCTTGGTGGTGTGCTGCCAAAAATGGCGCATTGGCACCTGAAGTGGCCACGGAAGGAGGTCAGATCGTGGCAAGGCAGGGGAAGCCTGCTCCAATCACAAACCCAGTGACTGAGCAGGCTTCGCGAGGAGGAAGGAGACAAAGGAACCCACAATACTGCAATAGCCCAATGCAGATGTGGGTGCTTGTCTCGCGACATATGGAAAGCAAAGCCGGTATGGCAAGGACAGAAAGGGAGGACCCGAGGTTGCTGCTGTCGCTCCTGAGAAACCTGTCTGGCTGTAAAAAGCTTGACGAACCTATCTTTGTACAGAACTGTACAAGTGTGCTTCACCGCCTCACTGTGTGCAGCATTTGCATAGACTACATCATAAAACTTGCATTGCCCACCGGTCAACAGCACCGAGTCGCCAACATACCCAAGTTGGTGACTCGTGGCATCTACCGTTAGGCTGCCAAGTTCTATATGTAGTCCATGCCACTGCTCATCATCCGGGATCAGCTCAGGCCATCTAGACCTGAAGGAAGCGTCTGTTCGTCGGGGTCGTCGTCGAGCACTGGAATTGGCGTGTGAGCAGGGGCGTCTGCAAACTCCGGAATCATGGCATTCTTGGCCGCTTCCTGAAGCGCGTGTTCCCTGGCTGCCTCCAATTTGGAGGTGAGGGTAGGTCCTGTCTTGTGCTGGTGCACTGGTGTGGAGCGGGTAGCCTCTTTGATTCCTGGCCGCGGTGGGGCTTCTGATGTCGGCTGTCTCGGAGCTTGCAGATCTCTTTGTCCTGGATGCACTGGTGAGACCTTGGAGTCGACACGATCCTTGGCATCCCTGGCTTGTAGCTGTACTGGTGTCGGTGACGCAGCCTGAAATGCACCCGGGTGTGCATTCACAGGTGCTTCCGAAGTGCCAGCATAAGCAGGTCCTTCGCATCGTCGTGGTTCGCCTGTTGTCGTCTGTGGTCCCACATCTGAAGTTCTGGTAGTAGGAGCACCGAGGTGTTGGCTGGCCTGCATGTTTGCTGAGTGTCCCATCTCCGCACTGGGCTGCAGGAAACCTGGAGGTGGTGGCGGAAAGCCCCAAGGCATCCACTGCATCCATGGGGGCGGTGCTCGCTGATCCAAGTGGTACTGAGTGTAATCTCCCAATGGTGAACCTGCATGAAGCGGCCTCGGCTGGTGTGCAGAACTGTGCTGTGCTTCCGCTGCAACTGCACGCCTGTATACTGCACTCGGATCTTCTTCTGATTGTTCTTTCTCCCATTGGCTCATCATGGCATCCCACTCGTCGTTGGCACTCCGGTCGGTTGCTGCCTCCTTGACTCCGGCCTTGGGCACACTCTCCACAAGTTGCTGACGTGCTGTGGCCTGCGCCACAAGTGCTTTTTCTAGGTCGTCCTCGATCTTCTCGATGTTCTTGGTGTATCTCTGCTTCTCTTCCATCCACGACTTCTGCATCTCTTGCATGTATCTGTCCCAACTCTGGATCTTCTTCTCTTTGGCCTGCTGAAGTTGTCTGACTCTTTGTTCTGCTTTGCGCGTCGCGTTGAGAAGCTCTTGGATCTCGGGGACCAAGGTGTCTGAGGGCCCCATAGGCACAGCAGCCTTGGTCTTGTCCTTGCCTTTGCTGCGACCCTTGCCATCCTTGCCATGAGCTTGGTCGTAGTGTGGAAACAACCTCTGTGGCTGTTGTGGGGTCTGTTCGCGACCCTTCTTCCACGCTCCCCGCCAGATGTTCCATGCATCGGAAGGCTGTGCAGAGGACCAAGCAGGGTCCCAAGATGGATCCCAGTCTCCATAGTCTTGTCGTTGTCCTCGACCCATGGCGGAGAAGACTGTGGAAGGCGGAGCCGCGTGGTGGGCGTATATTCTTTGCAGATCCTTTCGTCGTGGTGGAGCTCCTTGAAGCTTGGCTTGTCTCAGCCGAGCTCTGGCCTTGGAGCGTCTCCTTCTTGCTGTCCGGTGCCA